TTATGATAACTCGCGATAACAATAATTATGACAAGTCTTGATATTATTTTATGATTTTAAATTTTTTTAAAGATTTTGACATTTTGAAGAATGAATCTATTACCTCTTGTTTATCTCAAAATTCTTGCATGATTTTCAATCAACTAAATTCAATCTTGCATGATTTTCAATCAACTAAATTCAATCTTGCATGATTTTCAATCAACTAAATTCAATCTTGCATGATTTTCAATCAACTAAATTCAATCTTGCATGATTTTCAATCAACTAAATTCAATCTTGCATGATTTTCAATCAACTAAATTCAATCTTGCATGATTTTCAATCAACTAAATTCAATCTTGCATGATTTTCAATCAACTAAATTGCATTGATTTATGGTAACTGTTCCTTCATGCTCAAAAAAACTTTCCTTGTACATCAATGCTTTGAAATTCTCTTTTTTCTTAATGTTTACTGGACCCATATAGTTTAAGTCTTCACATTTTTTTTCTTAACAATTTACTATCTTGCATTGAATTCCATATATTATTATCTTACATTGAATTCCATATATTATTATCTTACATTGAATTCCATATATTATTATCTTTGAATTCCATATATTCAACATATTTTTTTCCATAATAATATTAATTTTTCTTTTTAACAAGATGCAAAAATTTTAATATTCTCAGAGTTTTTCCAGCAGTAAACCTTTGACTTGCTTAGCCAAATTTGGTTGTATTTTAAGTTGTTAATATATATTTTTTAATTTTAATTTAAGTTAAATAACTGAAAACATAGGAGTAAATAAACAAAGTAATAATGTTTTAAGGTTTACCTTGAAGTAACGATTTAAGTATTTTAGTCATTGATAGACAATGTTTTGTGTGGAGCAATGTATGATCAATAAATCAATATCTGTACTGTTAAATAATTCTACTGTAAGTTAAAAAGCAAAATTTTTTAACTAATAACTGTTTTTGAAGTTGTAAGGAATTTATTTGTAAAGAACAATTACACAGTTTTTATTGGTGAAATATGTGTTATGGTTTACTTTTAGGTTGCAATCCTTACAAATAATATATAAAGTAAAATATTGAAATATAGTTTAGAAATGAGTAACCAAGGGATGAGTTATGAAATACTGGTGTCAATTATCATGCCCATTTATAATGCTTCTGCATTTTTAAATGAAGCATTTCAATCTATCATTGAACAAACATGGAAAACATCTCTAGAAGTTTCTTTATTTTGTGATGCTTGCACTGATGATTCTTTAGAACTATGTTACCAATGGAAACAAAAATTTATTGACAATAATATAAAGGTAGTTATTGGGAAAAATCCAACCAAAAATTGTGGTGGTGTTGGGTATGCGAAAAACCAGGCAATAGAGCAAAGTCACGGAAAGTATTTATGTTTTTTAGATTCTGATGATGTAATGATGCCTGCGAGAATTCAAATGCAACTTGAGTTAGCAGAAAATGATCACCTACTCCTTGTTGGATCACAATACATACGAACCCCTGAATGTTCTACAAAAAGGTATACACTCTGGAGTAACAGTTTGACTGACGATCAACTTTATTGTCAAATATACACATCATTTGGGCCTACAATAATAAATCCAACATGGTTTTGTTCAAGAAAGGTTATTGAAAATGCAGGGCCGTTTCTCGAAAGAGTGAAGGGATTCCCTGAAGATTTAGAATTTTTTTATCGGCATCTATTAGGTGGAGGTAGATTAGTCAAGATTAATCAACCTTTATTGATTTACCGTTACCATATTTGTGGGGCTTCATTTTCAGTACATGAAGATACAATTTGGAATTTACGATTAAAACAGCTGGAAGCTAATGTTCTTTCAAAATGGGAGTATTTTACTATTTGGAATGCTGGTAAGCAAGGGAGAAAATTTTTTCGAACTTTATCTGAAGAAAATAAACACAAGGTAAAAGCACTTTGTGATGTAGATTCAAAAAAAATAAATAAAGGTTTTTATAAATGTGAGGTTGTTGGATCTGATGGTAAAAAGATGACAATTCCAATAGTACATTTTAAAGCTGCAAAGCCTCCATTTGTTATTTGCGTCAAGATTAACCTCACTAATGGCGAATTTGAAGAAAACTTAAAATCTTTGAACCTTATTGAAGGGAATGATTATTTTCACTTTAGCTAAATAGTCTATAATACGACTTAAATATTTATAATTTGATTATTATTGTTTTGTATATTTGTAACTTTTTAAAATAATTTTTTTTTGTATTAGTAACATAAGTCACTTAAAAATAATCTTAAAATGACTTTTAATGTGGAACAAGATACATTAGGATGGCTTCGCAATAAACTCAGTAGCAGTGAAAATGCATGGTCATCAACCACTATTGCTTCCCAACTCAATGAGACTATGTTAAAGTACATCTATGACTCATTTCTTCAGCTAGAGGCAAAAGAAAAAATACAGTTGTTACTCTCATTTCTTGAAATTCCATTACGAAATATGGAAAGTTACAAG